GAAGCCTCATTCCCCTTATAATTTCGACTATCACTTGTATTAAAAAAAAAAAAAATCATGTTTGCAATCAATAATTTAAGGGTGTATAACGGTTTGAAACCAATACAATTTAGTCAATCTTCATCCGATCTAATCATATTAGATGTTTAAATCCGATCCGGTCCAAATAATATTGTATTGGATTGGATTGGATGATCGGTATTAATAATGAAATATTAAATATCTTACAAACCCCTAGCAAATCATCAAGTAAAACCCCATTTCAATGAGAAGATGAGAAATCCCTTTCTGAACAAGCTAGCTTAAGCCCAAAGAATAAATCCCACAATTCAGCCACTAGAGCTTGCCCTTTCCCCAAATTCACAACAAGACCACCTATCTAGTCACCACAAGAATTTCTTAGAACACCCCCTGCACCAACATTCCCATAGGCATTTCTCCTAGACCTATCCACATTTAATTTGAACTAGCCAAATTCACAGCAAATTCAAATGCCTCTTTGGGAGGTAGACTAATACTGAAAAACTTTTAAAGGAGAAGAAGTTGAAACTTTTAAAGGTATCTTATAAATTATTATTATGTCACTAATTCCACAATAAATAGGAAATGGAAGATAAGAAAATTCAATTAAGGGGCTAACAAAGAAAAATGGCTATTATGCAATTAATTTCATGATGAATGGATAAAATATTTTTTGGGGGAAAATAAGATAACAAATGGATATTATTAGAGGTAAAATGGGCATTGAGAAAAAATCAACCAACACATCATCACGACCATTAATTCAAAATTTGATATAAACCCACAAATGGGTCCGAATTGTTCTTTAAAAAATCCATGGGCTTTCCCCAATAAATGCTTGAAATTTTGGGTTAACATTTAATATCCTATTATCATTTCAAATTTTGTGTTTACAATTTCTATCATTATTACTAAGAGCATCCACAATGATGCTCTCTATTTCTTAGCTAAAATTTAGCTAAAAATATAAGAAAACTATTTTAGAAGCTCTCTAAAAAATTTCAACTCTAACCATACTCCATAATTTGGAGAGTCATAAATGCTATAACTCTTTTTTGATTGGTCCATCTCTATTAAAAAATAAAATAAAAAATAGTTAGCATTAAATAAATGTTTGAAATACTCATTAAATAAAGAAGCATTAAATTATAGGGAGTCACTAAGAGTCTTTTCTCTCTCCTCAGATTTAGGAGCTCCTACAGGACTCCCTATTTTAGGATATGGATAGGGAGCATGGTTGGAGTTGCATTTTTACGATTCCTCCCTAAAATTTATCTAAGGAGGTGGTTTAGGGAACCCATTGTGGATGCTCTAACATCAAATGTTTTGCTTTTTGATACTCGATATTCCACGATTGCAACCAGTTTTAATACCTCAGTTCCATGATACCTCCCAAACTAACTACTTTTTATTTGGATGAAGGAATTGAAAACTACACAAAATTCTAAAATTAATGATAGAATTTAGATCTCCATCATTTAAATTTTTGGCAATTAATAATTTTAGTGTTTGAATTTATGTATGTTGAATTTTGTAAATGATAGAAATTACAAATTTGATTGTGAAACGAATTCCCGCTCAATAGCAATTGTGAAATGACATATCTTTTGGCGGAAAATAAACTCCGTAATCTTGATCCCCAATTTTCACTAATTTTTCTGCATTTCATTTATTAAGTTCCGTCCTTACGTTGCCAAACAATAGAAATATCAATTTCTTCTCTTTATTTCCAGACTTTTAGCTAAATCCCGAATTATTTTCCTTCATCCGAATGGAGGAAAAAGATTTGAAACAAAGTGAAGAAGTCCTATAAAAAAAAAGTACTTGTGATTTTATCTCTTTTTTTTTTATTTTTTATCACTACTACTATTCTTTTTGGTAGCTAACTTGGAATGAAATTAAGCATATGCATGTGAGGTTTAAGAAGATTTTACATTTGGGAAATCTTGTGAGGTTATGTACAACCTTTATCTTAGATTCGAGTTTTACCCTTCTCTACCTTTGAATCCAGTTAAAAAAAAGACCCTAAGAATAAGGAGCTTCTAGAGCATGAATAAGAGCTATGAAGAAGAAAGAGAGGGTCCCCATCCCCACTTATATTACATATTTCTCCCTTAAATTATTGTAGTTGTTTCACTTTTCATCCTTAATTTGTTTTTCGTCCCAAGCTAATCCCTCAGTTTTGAGACTATATTAATGAAGACAATTGTAAGTTACAAAAATTGACAAAAGTGGTCACGTTTAAGGCCTAAATGTGCAAAGGACCTACTAGTGTAGTGATTTGGAGTAATTGCTCCCTCAAGCAGCAAGATCCTGGGTTCGAGTCCTAGCATTCGTATTGTGTGTGTGAGTTTAGTATATTATCGCTCATCTCAATAGGAAATGTCCTTAAAAAAAAAAGAAAAAAAAAAGCCTAAATGCAATGTAGATTGGCTTGAGTTTTGGGCGAAACCACCCTGAACATTCTTTAGAAACAAAAATTAATCTGAGGATGTGCAAACCGTTGACCCAATAAGGTGGAATGTAAAATTAGGTTGTCTACTAATTTTGTTGTTGTTGATGTTATAATGGAAGGAATCAAGACCTAACATAATCCTAATTCATTTCGCCATTAGAACCCACTTGGGCTAACCTTAAGGACTTGGTCTACCTTTTTGGTCTTTTTAAGTATAAAAATCCAATTCTAACTATCTATTCTTAACTTATTGAGTCTTAGTATTTAATGGATTCTCAATTTTGTCATGACATACTTCCAACTTATATTTGATCTAGTAATATATCACTTATCAATCAACAAAAAAATTAATCATACATCAATGGTGTGAGAAATCGGGCTCTAGTAGTGTGGCGAACTTGCAAGCTTAACATGTGGACAACACATATTAGGTGACATTGGGAGCACATGTGGATAGCGCACTCTGATTTCATGAAGGAAGTTGAGACTTCACCTAAAACTAATTGGCAATGAGATGAGTAACTCAATTCCTTATAAGCCCATACTAAATCCCTAACTTTTCAATGTGGGACAAAAATTCTCAACACACTTGAGGTCTTCCAAATCATTCCTCCCCTAATATTAATGGAAATTTCAATTGAAAGTTTTATCATATATAACTAATAACAATTGCTGAGAAAACATGTAACAATGAAAACAATTTGGGAAAGAGGGTTACTTTTAGAAAATTTTGGCGAAAAAAAAATGAATTACTGCCAAGGCCCGACTGGTTGCATAAAATATAGTATGCATAATTACATTGATTTTATCTTTCTTTTTTTGTTGAGAAATTCTAGGATTGCATTCATAATTCAGCCAAAAAAGCCACTAGTCACAAATGGCCAATACAAACTAGCCACTAGTCACAAATGACCAATACAAATTAGCCACAAAGGACCAATACAAACTAACCACAAAGGGCCAATATAAACTAGTCACAAAAGGGTCATTGTCTAATATCAAAATTATGACAATCTGGTGTGCCTCCATTAACAATCACACATGATCAAGAAACTCTGGCATATGTCCCCCAACTAAGATTGCAAATTCGGAAAAAAGATATAAAGTTTGAAAAAAACCAAGTTATATCAATACAAATAAAACTCTCACAAAAGAGAGGTGAAAATCTCTCACAAAAGGAGATGTGAGATTTAACACCGAAATGCAGGTGGAGATCCGACGCCGAGATGCAATCGCTTGTAATATTTAGAGGAAAATCATAACAAAACGAAGACAAATAGGGAAAAACTCTGAAAATGAGAGAAGAAGAGAGGAGAGGGAAGGGAGAGGGGAGGAAGAACAGTGGCTTCCTCCCCCCCTAAAAGTGAAAACGACTCTAGGAGTATTTTTTAAGAGAGAGGAGGCTATAGTTTTTTTAGAGCTTATTTACATTAGTGCCCCCTGAAACTATGGTCAAATCTCACTTTACTTTCTGAAAGTTATAATGGCCCACTTTACCCTCTTGACCGATGTTTTGTATCTCAATTTACCCTACACTGTAAATTCAGTCAAAAACTCTATTAAAAATGCGGAAGTGGCACAAATAGGACCCCACAAGTTTGTTGAATTGAATGTCACGTAGGTGCCATGTGTGAAAAAAAAAAAGAAGAAGAAAGATTTTCTTTTAAAAAACTTAACTCAATTAATAATAATAATATTTTAAACAAAAATACAATTCCCATCCCCTCCTCCAAACCCAGTTACACATACTTAATCTCTCTGTATCCCTAAGGGCACTTCCAGCAGTGAGAATGTTGTCATGGTAAGGGGGGGCTAGGGCTGATACTATTCACGGGAATAGTGTCTGCCCTTGTAAAAAATAAGTTGCACTTCCAGCAGTTGCCATCACAAAGGGGTACTATTCAATTTTTTTTTTTTTTTTTCACAAATTTGTTTACCTAAACAATTAATTTGGACAATATTTTCGGATGAGATTTTCTGATAAAATATTCGGATAAGATTTTCAGATAAGATTTTCGGTTTCAAATTTCAGATAATTTTTTTTTTCAAATTTCAGATAAATTTCATTTGAATTTCAATTTCAGATAAATTTCATCTGAATTTCAATTTCAGATAAATTTCATCTGAATTTCAATTTCAGATAAATTTCATCTGAATTTCAATTTCAGATAAATTTCATCTGAATTTCAATTTCAGATAAATTTCATCCGAGTTTCAAATTTCGGATAAGATTTTCACCCTATAAAATTGCGCCACGTGTCATCTGAATTTCAAATTTCGGATAAATTTTATTTGAATTTCAACTTTTCATTTGAATTTCACATTTCAGATACATTTCATTTGAATTCCAAATTTCGGATAAGATTTTCACCCTATCAACTTGCGCCACGTGTCATGTCTATCGACCTAAATTTTTCTATAAAACAAAGGCTCAGCTCACAAACCTCTCACACTACATCTTCTCAAAAATTTCATTTCATAGATTTTAGATTTCATATTTCATCTTCCATTCACAATGTCAGACATGGAGGAGGTCTTGGAGAGGCAAGAGCGAGAAATAAGAGAAAGAAAGCGTAGACGAGCTGCAAGCAAAAGAGCGCAGAGAGATCTAGATCAGCAACTTGTCATGGCTGTGGCCATGCTTGATAAAGAAAACCAGAGCTGTCATGGTTCACATGAAGGCCGTGCCCCAAATGTTGACAGACATAGCCATTCTTGGGGTAAGAATCTTATGGAAGATTATTTTATCCCAACATCTTTGTATTCTGATGTTCATTTTTGAGGGAGGTATAGAATGCAACAACATTTGTTCAATAAAATCATGCATGATATTTGCAATTATGATGAATACTTTGTTCAAAAGAAAAATTGTGCTGGTGTTTTGGGACTGCTTCCCGAACAAAAGTTCACAGCTATTATACGAATGTTGGCGTATGGTGCATCTGCTGATCAGGTAGATGAGATTGCCCGGATGGGGAAGTCCACTGCCTTGGAGAGTTTGGTTAGATTTTGTGATGCAGTCAAAACTCTGTACACCATGGACTACCTGCGCCGACCCACGCCTAGGGACCTGCAACGATTTCTGCAGAAAGCCGAATGGAGAGGATTTCTAGGAATGATTGGTAGCATCGACTGCATGCACTGGCAATGGAAGAATTGCCCAACTTCTTGGCAGGGTGATTACGGAAATCAGAAAGGCCAAAAAAGCATAATCCTTGAAGCCGTTGCAGGTTTCAATATATGGGTCTGGCACGCCTTTTTCGGAGTTGCTGGATCTCAAAATGACTTGAACATCCTGGGTCAATCCCCGGTGTTCAATGATGTTTTGAGAGGAGAAGCCCCAAAAATCACATATAAAGTCAATAATACCATCTACCAAACTGGGTATTATCTAGCTGACGGGATCTACCCGAGGTGGACAACATTCGTGAAATCACTTCCGCATCCCCGAACCCAGAAGCAAAAATTATTTGCTACATATCAAGAGGGTTACAGAAAGGATGTGGAGAGGTGCTTTGGTATCCTCCAAGCTCGGTGGGCGATCATTAGGGTTGCGGCGCGTATGTATGATGATGAGGTGTTGAGGAGCATAATGATGACATGCATCATCCTTCATAACATGATTGTGGAGGATGAGTATGATTACGAAGCTCTTTCATTATTTAAAAACATGCATAATATTTAAAATAGTTTTCAATCCAAATCTGAATATAAATCATATATAAGAGCACTTCCAGCAGTGAGAATCTTGCCATGTCAAGGGGGGGCTAGGGCTCACACTATTCACGGGAATAGTGTCTGCCATTGCAAAAAGTAAGTTGTACTTCCAGCAGTTGCCATGGCAAGGGGGGTACTATTCAATTTTTTGGTTTTTTTCACAAATTTGTTTACCTAAACAATTAATTTGGACAATATTTTCGGATGAGATTTTCTGATAAAAAATTCGGATAAGATTTTCAGTTAAGATTTTCGGTTTCAAATTTCAGATAATTTTAATGCTTTGGTCGTGGTAGTTTTTTTTATGCATTGAATGTTTTGAATAAAAAGGAATTTTATTTAATAGTTTTCTTGGCAGGGTGATTACGGAAATCAGAAAGGCCAAAAAAGCATAATCCTTGAAGCCGTTGCAGGTTTCAATATATGGGTCTGGCACGCCTTTTTCGGAGTTGCTGGATCTCAAAATGACTTGAACATCCTGGGTCAATCCCCGGTGTTCAATGATGTTTTGAGAGGAGAAGCCCCAAAAATCACATATAAAGTCAATAATACCATCTACCAAACTGGGTATTATCTAGCTGACGGGATCTACCCGAGGTGGACAACATTCGTGAAATCACTTCCGCATCCCCGAACCCAGAAGCAAAAATTATTTGCTACATATCAAGAGGGTTACAAAAAGGATGTGGAGAGGTGCTTTGGTACCCTCCAAGCTCGGTATGCAATCATTAGGGGTGCGGCGCGTATGTTTGATGAGGAGGTGTTGAGGAGCATCATGATGACATGCATTATCCTTCATAACATGATTGTGGAGGATGAGTATGATTACGAAGCTAAAGAGGTGTACGAACCTGATCCCATGAACACGGCATTGACCCGAATTTATGAAAAACCAATAGGGCCAAATGGAGGACCAGTGGAGCATGAACCGTTGGTTAGGGATGGTATTTTCATGAACCGTATGATTAATCGATATATGGAGATGCAATCTTCGTATATTCATGAACACCGTCAAGTTGACTTAATGGAACATTTATGAGCGGTGAAAGGCAATGACGGTGAATGAAGTGAAGTGAAGAATATTTTTAAGATTTTAATGTTTATGTTTTATGTTTAGTTATGTTTGGTTTTTTTGTGGTTTGGTTGTGGTTTGTTTGTGGTTTGTTTGTTTTTATATTTTTAATGTTGTGGTTGTGGTTAGTTTTTTTTATGCATTGAATGTTTTGAATAAAAAGGAATTTTATTTAATAGTTTCTTTGGTAACTCAAAGAAAACCAATACTACTAATACAATAAAATACATGAATTCCAACTAATTTTTAAAACAAAACATTAAAATACAATGAAATGAAAAGGCAAGCAAACTAACTTAAGGGTTTTCATCATTTAACTAATACGTATTGTTAGGTCCATCATCACGAAAAAGTCGTCATCTCATAATAACCTTTCGTTTTAGCTTCCAATATTGTTTTGTTTCAGGAGACATGTGGCTTGTATCCATGGCCATGGTTTCCCGATCCTTATTTTCTTCATTTTCTTTGCGTTGATACTCCCTTTCTTCGCGTACATACTCCCTTTCTTTAGCAAATTCTATTGCCATTG